AATTACATAATGTAGGTTATTGACTGAGACTGAGATGATGACTCATAAAGCTTTGTGTAGCAACTTGCATTCTACACTCCTCACCAGGGATTTTTATATATTTAAGATAACATATTTCATAGCCAAGAAATGAATCTCTATTTGGGGAAATTCAAGCTTCATTTAGCAGATTGGTTATATATGTTTTGGTCAAAGTTCAGGGCTAGAGTACTCTTGGAGAATTTTCAAAATCATAACACAAGGTGGAAGTCCATCTTCTTCCAGGGAAGTCCAACTAAAACCACTGCACAGAGTATGTTTATGAGGACAGGCACATACATCGGTGAGGGCTTGCTCACCCTCAGCTAAGTCTCAGTGATGATGACATCTCATTAGTCAATATACACTTACGACTGTCCACGTCCCAGAGTAACTCTAATGAATCCCAAGTCCTGTTCTAAATCCCAGTACACATACTCAGGAAATAGAGAAAATAGTCCATCATCAAAAAATTAACATAAATCTTACAAGGCAAGCTCTTCTTGAGTCCCAAGGGCAAAGAGGACCTCAGGGGTTCATTAAATATTCACTTTCCTCTAGGAGCTTTAGAGGATTCTTGTATGCCTGATGCAACACCAGAGAAAGTTCTTCTGAGGTTTTTGTCACTTCAGAGATAGTTTCCATGGGAACTTCATTTTCAAATGAACCAGGGCTTCTCTAAATCATTTTCACTGTTGACTTGCTCCAATATAAGCAGAGAGAAGCATAGAAATAAATATTCTTGATTAAGTTACTTTTGTAAAAAATTGTCCTTTTTCCAAAACTTGAATCTCTGTATAATGGCTTCCTTATTCTATTTATTGCTAACATTAAAACATATGTGAGACATGGATTATAACATATTTGTGTGGTAAATGCATGTACAATACAGAGGGTTTGTACATATGGCACATGCATTAACCCTCAAATGTCTAGTAGACCATCAAACAGCACACAAGTGTTGGGGAAGGCAATACCTTTCAGTCTGCACAAGATAAATCCAAGAATAAGCCACAATTTCAACAAAAAGAGTCAGAAAGTCTGTCCAGAGAGAAAAGATGGCAGCTGAAATGTCTTCATTTTAAATGATTTTGATTAGGCT